CCCCAAAACCCCAAAACCCCAAAACCCCAAAACCCCTTGGTGTAATTGGGTAATAGAATTATTGGTTTTATAGTAATGGGCAGTTTTGGCAAGAGGATGTGGAGTTGGATCTCTAAGAAGGTTAAAAGTAAAGATATTTTTAACCACAAGATATGTCTGGCTCAGAATGGGAGTGATCGGTATAGCTCGTTTATAGGGGGAGGTACATTTTTATTGCCGTCCAGATCTATACCTTATCCTGAAGAATGGAATATCGAACTAGCCCCGATATTCTCAGCTAAATTTATGCTAGACGACGAGCAGACCTTCTATGAAAGAAGAGTCACTGATTTCTTAGAAGTCACAGACCAGCTAGGAGATATCTTCGAGATTTATGAAATCATCGGACGCTTCATCATTGGCTAGCTGTCTTCAAGAGCTTTTAATAATGAAGTCTATGAAAATTTAGAAAGAGCTGAGAAGATTTATAACAACCAGATTCAGATATTAGAAGAACTTAAAGAGGAAGCAAAGAATGAAAAAGATGAGGAAGAGAAAATGTGTAAGAGAGATGATAAATCTAATAATGATGAGGAACAATGTGAAGGAGGAAATCTCAACAATCATGAAATTAAAAAATCTGAAAAAGGTCAAATTAAAAATATCTTCTCTTCTCAATTTCCTCATATATCAGTGCTTAACCAAATGGTTTAGAAAGAGATAATTGATTAATTGAAGTCAGACCAGCTGAGCCTAAATATAAATAAACTCCTTAGAAACTACAACGAAACATTGGATAGTACAAACTTGGCTTTCTCAATCAGAGTACTGAAGAATAAAGTTGACTATTTACTTTCAAAAGATTCAGAATACATAGAAGCTATAAATAGGTAAATCAGTTACAGAATAGAGGATAAAAACCATGATGAAATTAACTACAGAGTAGATTCTGCTAAAATAAAAAATGATAAAAAGCACCAGCAAGCTATAAAAACTTATCAAGAAGACTGAAGCATGCTTCCCAAAAATATCTCTAAAAACAGCAAAATGTACACTTCTAGACAACAAATTTTGAGTACCTCCCATCTAACCCCTAGACACATGCAAAGCTTACTTACAACCCCCTAACACAACCCCCCATACCCAGACTCAATCACCCAAGACCTCCAAAACCCCACTCACCTCCAACCCACAAAGACTACACAAGAATCCATAATTACCAAATCCCCCTTCTAACCACAAGCCCCTTTAAAAGTCAAATCTCAACTGCACCTACTTCAGCCGGGGTTTTGGGGTTTTGGGGTTTTGGGG